AATAGTCAAATTGAAAATTAAATCTAATTAGAATCTATAAACACTAAAAAGTAGTGCAACTTTTTGAATCTAACCAAACAATTAATAAGTATAAAACTATTACAATAGTTGTAAATACGAATATTAATATTTAAATACCCTCTTCAATTGTGTAATGAACGGCAAGGACATCAAGGATAGTGAGCAACTTTCCTATATGCCCTTCAACGCCTTACAAACCCTTACATATATCTCCTATGGCATAGAGCATAATGAGCCAGGTCAGAATGCTTGAAGCGCTGAAAACTCCGCACGTTATAACATCACTTATACGGTTTTCTATCTAACCCACACACACACATACCCACGCTCACAGCTACATAACAAATTAGAATTGGATCCCACACAGTCCGCACCTCTATCAGCCCGGCAACGCGGCGTATGCGTAATGCGTTCCCATGTGCTGATGTTGTTGCCGCCGATGTTTCCCCTTGTATGTAGCCTGCGGTGCTTGTAAACTTGTAGCCCTGTCAAAATGTCAAAAATTTTCGAGGGTAGTCCCGCCGCGCCTACCCCGCCATCAGCCGGCAACATCTTGGCACACTCTGAGCGATGAAAACGCGTAAAAAAAAAAACCGTAGCCAAAAGTGTAATTGGGCGTCGCTCGGGTTAATAGAGGTTACGGCATGGGCGCGATATTTTCGACGATGTTCCGCCCCCGCCACTTAGTTTTAATTAGTGGCTTACATTTCATGCAAAAGATATGACGAAATTGGTAACCCGAAATGGAGCAGCCTGTAGTGAGGAGATGCGGAGTGAAGTGTGTTATAGGTGCTTAGACCTTGCTCAAATTATGTGCCCCATTTCAAAGGACGACCTTATCTTAAGGCGCTTAAGCCGAATAATTACAATAGTGCGGAGAGTAAACTTTAAAATGGGATTTTTTTTAATTAAAAATGTTGATTTTCTTTGTAGTTTAAATAGAAATATTTGGTTTTGTCCAAGAACTATATATTAATTTGAACATTGAATTTTGTATCTATTTAAATTTTATTTTTTTTTTATGTTTGCGCATTGTGTTTTCCGAATACTACGAATATATATCATCTATTACAACTTTGTGAATAAAATCCTGTGCAATGATAATGACTATAACTATTCGTTGCCTTGGTCGGGTTCCAATTTTAAATGGTTTTCAGTACTCTGAAATCCTTACACCATTTATTAATAATTATAATTTACCATTAATTAAAAATAAATGCTTACTTCTTACAAATATTTTATGTTTAGCCATTTGCAAAACTCAATTTGAAGTTCAACCATTTCTTACATTTTCAAAGACTCTGATAATACCTTATATATTTTTTCAAAACCCTTAGCTCGCACATTGTCAGAGTCATCCCGTTTTCCTCTTTTCAAAACCCAATCACAATGGCAATGTTCCCAGTTCCTTGCTGGCTTGTGCCCCTCCTCCACTCGACATATTCTACTTTTCCATATATTTAAAAAGGACACCCTCCCGCGACAACAACGTGTACATTTGTAATTACATGCAATTCATTAAAGTGTAAATACAACATAAAACAAGAAAGGAAGCTAACTTCGGCACGCCGAAGTTTGTATACCCTTGCAGATTGGTTTTGATGTTTATATTATAGATTTAAATGCTGAAAACACACACAAAACAGAGTTTCATTACATTTTACCTATACTTATTATGTTTACAGTTTGACAGTTACAGTTTTACAATCCCAGCTTTACATTTTCTCTACATCTACCGATCGGTTTATATGGCAGCTATATGATATAGTTGTCCGATTTTCATAAAATTTTTACCAAAATTCTGAAATAATAAAAAAAGCTTATATCTAAAAGTAGATAAGAATATGTTGGAAAACAACGAAGTTATAATTTTTTTCCTATTCATTTGCCGATCCTTCCTATGGCAGCTATAAGATATAGTCGTCCGATTTTCATAAAATTCATAAAATTCTGAAATAATATAAAATGGCTATATCTCAAAAATGATGCAAAAATATTGAAAAACAGCAAAGTTATAATTTTTTTTTCTAAAAATTTATCGAACATTTGTATGGGAGCTATATAATATAGTCGTCCGATCCGGCCCGTTCCGACATATATAGCAGTGAGAGTATATAGAAGACTAGATGCAAAGTTTCATTCAGATAGCTTCAAAACTGAGGGACTAGTTTGCGTAGAAACGGACAGACGGACGGACAGACGGACGGACAGACGGACAGACGGACAGACGGACATGGCTAGATCGACTCGGCTGTTGATGCTGATCAAGAATATATATACTTTATAGGGTCGGAAACGTCTCCTTCACTGCGTTGCAAACTTCTGACTGAAATTATAATACCCTGCAAGGGTATAAAAAACTTGTTTATTAACAATTATAAAGGCTGTAAAAAGAAGTCGACCTACTGATGACTCCCAAAGCAAAAATAAACAATCAGCAGAAAACTAGTAAACAAAATTAAGTTTACTTAGACAAAGTTTTATTTATTTAAATTTTTTTTAAAAACTCTTTTGAGGCTTTAAAAAAAAAAGAGTGCCTCTCAGGTAATTCTGACGGTCCAGTGTACTCTCCCTGCTACCCTTGATGAGCTGGAAAATGATTCTCAAGGAACCGCAGCTAGAAGCGGCTGTTACTTTCCCTCAACCACCCAGCACCTCACCCCTTCTAGCACAGGATGTGCGCAGACAACAGGCATTTAAATTGTCATGGCAAGCAGCCTAGACGACAGCAGACTACAAGGACACCCAGAAAGGCTTGTCGCTGGTCCTAAAGGATGAGAAGGATGGCGGCAGTGTCTGGCAGGAGGCAGGGGCGTGCTCGCTTGGCTGTGCTTTTTGTGGGAACTGGAAGAAAAAAATATTACAGCCTGACGGAGCACTGGAAAACATATTTACACCTTGTTGCCATATGCTTAATGAGCAAAAAAAGGCAAGATAAGGGAGAAAGGGGGATGGTATCCTTCCTGGCTGCCTTGCAATTGTAATTTTTGTTAAATTAACACGTTGCCAACTGTTGCCAGACGGAGCAGGGCGGTGTCCCCTCCTCGCTTGTTGCCGGAAGTTGTCAAGTGGCGTCGGCATAAATTCAATTAGCAAAGTGGCGTCGAGTGGCAATGGCACTGGAGCAGCAATGGCTTTAAGGAGCAACCCAGGAACAGGTCCAGTTTCAGCCCGGATCCACATCCACTGCGAAGCCCAATGTATTAGCTCTGTGCATGGCCATTCGCATTTCGTTAGCCTTTTTCGACTCACAATCAGCGCAGTGAAGCGCACATCCTGTCAGCCTGAATGATTGTCCGGGACTGAGTCCCGTTCTTGATTTAAACCGAAACTGAAATGCACACAAATGGATTCCGAACTTGACCTCCTCATCCCGGCCCCTTCTATACGGTTTACGCAAGCCTGTTTCTATTATATTGTGAGTTTTATTTATACCCGGCAAAAGCAGAGGGTGGCTACAGGCAGAAGTTCACTGGGGGAAAAGCTTACTGCATAGCAAATATAATAGATTTCATAGCCCAGTAACATAAATAAAAGTAAGCCATGGATAGGGATAAAGAATTGGTTAAGAAACACATTAAACATCTAAATATTTTAAATTTATTTTGTACCATTATAATGTTACGAACTTGATCTTTAATCAAACCAATTATTAGATGTTTTTGAAATTGTTAATTGTTGTTAATAATAGTTTTTCGTTTTTTAGTTATTATCAAATATTTCATCTATTATTTTCCCAAATAAATATGTTTTCCTGCCAGTGTTAGCTTCTTTTTTCATTCTGCTGGAGTCAATTTTGGTTTTCCTTGCCATGATTTGATACGTGGGGGAGTGGCCTTCAGTGGGTGGCCTTTGGTTAAGCGCGAGCTGGCGGTGATGGTTGAGATTGTGGTTCTGGGGCACTAGCCATTTATGTGCGGGCCGTTGGCCTGGCGACAACATCTTTTGATTTGCACCTGCAATTTGCTTGCGGCAACCACTAAAATGTGTCACTAAATGCTCAGCACGCGAAACAGCTCTGCACCCTGAATACTGTTCAAGCCAGCATCCAAGCAAGCAGCAATCAACCGAACAAAACTCAACAATGCCGTGGGGTTGCCAAGAGATAGAGTATTCATTCTGGAATTATGGACTAGCTTGGGCAGTACAAGAATTTGGTTTAGTTAAAACATAAATCCTTAAATATCATTCAAAACTTGTTTAAAACTTGAGAGATGAATAATTAGAATAACAATTTTTTTTTTTTTTTTTTGAATATTTATTATACATTTTAGATTATTATATAGTTTCCCTGGGATTATTAATTTAGATGCCCCTTAAAATTCCCCTTGTAAAGGGTATTTCCAAACTCCATATCTTACCAGCTGCTGCACTGCACTCTTGTTCTTCTCAGTTGGTTATGCATTTGTTAAGCTCGCGAAAAGAAACTAGAAATTGCAACTCTCTCGCTTTTTCCCATCTCTTGGCTTGAGCTTGAGCTCTGGCTTATGACGCTACAGCAACACGCCCAGTAATTGCCACTGCACTTGCTGTAGTTGCTGTTCTTGGCCCGACGTTTGCCGCATTCCTCGCGCCCCACTCACAACCCCGGAAAGAGCCGCCCCCAGAAAACTAGCTTGCCCCCATGGAGCCACTAAAAACAACCGCAACACAAAACTATTTTGTTCACGCAATGCGAAAATGCATTGTTGTTGGCCCTCCTGCCGCTGGCATTTGGCGTTACGTATACGCAACGTATGCCGGGGCGCAATTTGCATTTGTATGCACATTGTTGTTAAGAGGGCGGTGGGCGGCGAGAATGGGTGTGGACTTTGGCTTGCTTTCGCTTGTAATTGCTTTAAACGTCATCATCACAGCCTCTTGCTCCGCAGCTGAATGCATTTATTGGCCTTATTGTTGGACCGCCGCCTGCCCGCCTGCCTTTTGTTTGGCCCGTTTACTGAAGTTTATTAAATTTCGCTTTGATTTAGCTATCAATATTCAATTCAGTTTAGGCATTGTTACAAAATTGTAGCGGAAAGCTTATTAGACAATCTAATATGATGAATAATCCGTGGCGGGAAATGGGCTTTATTGCCAAGCGAAGGCCAAAAGTTTATCTGAAAATTGTGCGGATCAAGAAGCGCCTTAAGAAGGCCACAAAAAAATTTAAAGAGGACCGAGAGAAACTGATAGAGCTGAAATTAAGAAATCGCATCAAGAAATTGATTATCGAAGAGCTGGAAAATAAACTGCATCAAAAGGAAGCCAAGAGAAGATTTAAAAAATAAGAAATCATTAAAAGCAATCAAATTATTTTAGGTATAGAGTACTAAGAACAGTAGAACTATAAGGGCACCAGTCGAAATAAGCTACTAAAATTCAAAATTCCTTTAAAAAATAACCACTGAAATGCTCACATTAACTCAAGGTGAACAATATAAGATATATATTTAATAACTATATAAAAATTTCAGCGGTTCTAAAACAAATTTCAACTTTAAGTCAAATCAAAGCCACTAGAAAGCCAAATCAACGTCCTTTTTTTTCTTTTGCCACTGCACTCTGACTATGAAAATTTCAAATAAACTTTCGTAGGGCAGCGACCACAAAATCATATTCAAACTGCGCTCAATGAAAATCAAAGCCACTGGAAGAATCATCGCATTGGATACACACAAACGCAATTTTTGGAATCCTAGGCAAAAGGAAACTTGCACAGCATTAATAAATATTTACAGGCACGTCGCGTCCTTGTCGACGAAATGGCCTACTGGGCAGTCTCAGTCTCAGTTCTGGCAATGAAATCAAATCAAATATGCGCGCTGACGCTTTATATATCGCGCCGAGGCGGCAGCCGGATGGCTCGCTTTGGTGTGCTCACAAGAATTTAAATCATCCGACTTACATGCTACTTACAAGCCAAAGCGCCTATATGTATGCGCCATAAAATGTGAGCAAGACTGAGAGCAGAATGGGCAAGTGAAAAAGATGAGAAGGCGGGCACTGAGCCAAAAACCAGGCTTAAGTAACAATAAATAGTAAGCTATCTGATATTTGAAATACATTTCATAAAAAAGTTGATCTAAAAACAAATATAGAAACTATATACTTAAATAAAAAATAGTACTTACATTTCGGAAAATTAAGTTAGGTTTAAAAAAGGAGGCAACAGACAATGAAAATAAATGAAATTATAAAAAGGAAAATACCTGTGCTAAGTGCTAAGTGATCATTATTTATAAAGCAGTTATAACAGAACATATTAACGAGGTTTTAGAGATAAATGAAAACTAAAAGAAACAAATTAAACTAAGAGGAAATTGTTAAAATAACTACTACTACTACAATTATATGTGTCAACTTGCTACTTTAAAATATAAAATTTAAAAAACTTACAAATTAAAATGACACTTAAAAACCGCAGTATATAAACATATGTTTCTTTTTAAGCATCGAGTAGAAACCAATTTTCCTTTCTTATTGAACACATTTCCATTCGCTCAGTGAGCGAAAAGGGAAAGATCTGGAGCTGGAATGGAGTGGAGTGGCGAACGGTCTCTGGCGGGCAGTTTTTGGACAACGCAGCAGCCTGAGACTGACACCGCCCCGGATAGACAGATAGATAGATGGTAGATGGCCGCCCACCTCGCCTCCTTTGGCGGGCTGCAACAAAAACAAGGTTATTATTTCGGGTGGTGGGTCTTCGCCATCGCCATCGTCAAAGCTATTGCCATTGCCATTGCCCTTTTATGCACACGGAATTTTTATGAGTTAATTTAATTTATAGTTTTATTATTATGTCCAGTGCATAATAATTGGCCATGGTATCATCGAAGGTACTTCGCTCTCCTTCGAACAGTCACTAAGCCAGGCCTTTCATGCACTTTTCAAGTGTGAACCGCCGCCCAAGGGTTGCCTTCTCGGCCATTTTCTAGCTTGCGTTGTCTTTCGTTTGGGGCCAGAACAACTTGTAAACAAGTCGGAATGGCGCATAAATTTAATTTAAACGCCGGGATGCCGGAGAGTGTGCTACGATTTTTGCACTGTTGATTTATACGCTAATAAAAGCAATTTCACTGAATGCCAAATGAAAGCAGCTTCAGAATCGGAGTGGCTGACAGACAGACAAAAAGGGGAGAAAAGGAGAATGGATGGGGATGGAGAAAGTCGGAGGAAGGAGAGTTCAGAGGAGCCTGCGCCTGCCTTTGACATTGTAGAGAAGCGGTTCAAGTGGTTGCTCCAGCTTCCCGGCCATTTTGGCGGCCACTCCAAGTTTTATTTACGCAGCAAATTTAATTATTTACTCTGGCTTTTCGGCTTGAGTTTTGCAGGCCAAACTAATGGATTGACCTGACCGACTGCCCCGCCGCTCCTAGACCTTCTAGAATTATGATTAACTTTGCCCTCAGCCAGCTAAACTGGCGACCTTAAAGCTGGGCCCACTTTAAAGCCGCTTCTCAGCAGCATTTATTATTAATTCAATGGCATTGAACCAGTTCAGGGCGTCGCTTACGTTTATTTTTCCTAATATTGTTTACATTTTAATAACATGAATACTTAACATGCATTTTACATGCGTTTTTCGGTGCCATTTTATTCAATGTACGCCCGGCAACAAAACATTTAAATACAAATGTATTAATTTTGCAACAATGAAACTCGGGCAACAACAAAGCATCACAAAATATCGCAACTGAACTAAGCGAACACGCCAAGAGCACACATTTTGGCTAATGCTGGATGACTTTCAAATGTTTTAAAGCCGAAAAAAGCACACATGGCCAAAACAATGTTCAGCAAAAAAGAGAGTAACGAAAAACAGGAGCGAAAAAAGTGCGAGCCAGATCCTGAATATTTCACCTGATACATGAATAAAGTGAAACACAGTGGGAGCGAAACGCACACTCATGCCGTTGGGTATTAAGCTTTAATGAAGCAATAAATTTAAAATCCTCCTTTTTTATTATGACAAAAAAAGGAGGGATATAGCAGCTGGGCGGGCGAGAGACAGCGAGAGAGGCCTATCAGTTTGGCGTGTTCGTTTGTATAAATACATAAACCTTTTTAAGCAGTCAAGTGATATGTCAAAATTGATATCCGAGTCATTTAAAATGCATGCAAATATGGCGCATCGACAAAAAACCCGGACGAAGGAGCCGGGGCTAGTAGTTGGCGGCCAGGGAGCAAAGTGCGGTAGGATACAAACACGTAGGACGAAGGACTCGCAGCCAATTTGCATAAATACGTTAATGTAATGTGAAATGCCAGCGACAGCGTCAAGAACCTCGCATGCCCCAAAAAATACACACAGCAATCTGAGGAGCTGGAGAAGGTCCTTTCACCTCCCATTTGCAAAAACGCACTTCGCTGAACTCAACTTGGTACTCTTTTTTTTTCACTTTGTCAGTTCGAAGCTGGTCTTTATTTCTTTTCTTTTTGTATTTTGCAACCTGCACTGCATTGAAATTCATAACACATCTGATGCATAAACGCCCCCAAGCTGGCTATGGAAATTTCACGCATTTTATTAACACTGCAGGGGGCGTGGCCATGCCTCTTCTGTCCCTGACAACGCAGCAAAAAAAAAATACAAATAAGGAATGAAAACAATCGAGCAACAGCGGGTGCGAAATGATGGATTTATTAATTATAATTTTACTTTCATGTCGCCGTTTCAAATTATTATCGATTGTTTTTCCCGCCGCGGCATATCGTCAACATAAAATGTTTATTATTATTATTATTTTTATACCCTTGCAGGGTATTATAATTTCAGTCAGAAGTTTGCAACGCAGTGAAGGAGACGTTTCCGACCCTATAAAGTATATATATTCTTGATCAGCATCAACAGCCGAGTCGATCTAGCCATGTCCGTCTGTCCGTCTGTCTGTCTGTCCGTCTGTCCGTCTGTCTGTCTGTCCGTCTGTCCGTCTGTCTGTCTGTCTGTTTCTACGCAAACTAGTCCCTCAGTTTTAAAGCTATCTGAATGAAACTTTGCATATAGTCTTCTATATGCTCTCACTGCTATATATGTCGGAACGGGCCGGATCGGACGACTATATCATATAGCTGCCATACAAATGTTTGATAAATTTTTAGAAAAAAAGTATAACTTGGCTGTTTTTCAATATTTTTGCATCATTTTTGAGATATAGCCATTTTATATTATTCCAGAATTTTGGTAAAAATTTTATGAAAATCGGACGACTATATGATATACCTGCCATAGGAACGATCGAGAAATTAATAGAAATAAAATTATAGCTTCGTTGTTTTTCAACGCATTTTTATTTACTCTGAGATATACGTTTTTTTTATTATTCTAGAATTTTGGTATAAATTTCATAAAAATCGGACAACTATATCTTATAGCTGCCATAGAAGCGATCGGTAAATGTATAAAATATATAAAGCTGAGAATGTAAAACTGTAACTGTCAAACTGTAAACATAATAAGTATAGGTAAAATGTAATGAAACTCTGTTTTGTGAGTGTTTTCAGCATTTAAATCTATAAAATAAACATCAAAACCAATCTGCAAGGGTATACAAACTTCGGCGTGCCGAAGTTAGCTTCCTTTCTTGTTTTTTTTAATTTTAAGGGTGTCTCTTATTTGATATGTGGATTGCCGCAGATAAACAAGGACCTTAAATATTTGGAGTTGAACTTCCATGGCAGAGAGAAAAGTAAATAAGTATGAATGAACCTTGAATTTTAAATGGTTTTTTGTTTAATTTGTTTTTAAACTGCATTTGAAGTAAAACGAATTCAAATAACCACCGAGAAGTGATGAATACTTTTAATGACAATAGCCTTTAAATATTTTAAAATCATGTCTAACAAATCCTAGTTAAAAGTAACATATACAGATGTATTGGTAAGTGTTCTACTGAGTCAAATGGCTTGACTTAATCCACAGATCAGTAACACCCCCTTAAAGTCACTGTTTCACAAACATTTTCACGTCTTCACTTCACACCTCACTTCATTTTCTGCGGCTGCACTTCGCTTCCGTTTCCACATCCGCTGCTGCAACCTCATTTGCTCCTTCATCTTTCAAAGGCTTTGGTGCCCTCATCCAGTTGCCTATACTCACTCCATCCTTGTCAGTCTGTCTGAAGGCAACATATGGAAGCACACACTCCTCATTGTTGCTGTACACTAGTAAACAAAACAGAGGATTACACCACCAAAACAATAGGTTCTAGATATTGTTAAGAACATTCTAAAAATATCTGTAAAAATATTAAAATCTTTTAATAAAATCTAAGTTAAAATGAAAATAATAAAGATGTAAGAAATTCTCTAAAAATTTGAATAACTTCCTTGGTAGAATCCGTTATCAATTTCTTACTAGAAAAACGATTTTTGTGTAAGCTAGTGCCATCGCTGGCTGCATTTTTGGGGCGCGTGCAAAACGTTGATGCATTACTTTCAACTTAACGCGTTTATTGTGCAATATAACGCGCCGCACACTCTCCATATACACACACACACACACACTCGGGCGGTGGGAAAGCGGAAAAGCTCCGCTGCCATTCCAAAATGTTGCTTATGAATTATTATGAGCCCCATGCACGCATTTTGCATTTGGCTACATTTTATGGCAGCGAAATTTGTCGGTGCCGTTGTCTGCCATCTATTTGCCAGCTAGCCGTAAACTTTCACAGTTGTTCGGCGGAAAATGCAGGCCGTGGTTGCAAGTTGCAAGTAGCTGGTTGCAGCCATGACCAGGGAGCCCCAGTTTTTGGGCCATTTATGAGTGATTTGCCAACTGGTTTTGTTGGCCACCGCATCGTCGCGCGTTCCAATTTGGCCGCTGCCGAGCTCCAAACTTATTTCCAAGTGCATAATTCATTGTTTCGCCCACATTATTTTCATGTCATAAGTTGGGCAGCTGTTCTACTCCGTAACTCCCCGCTATCTGCCAGCAAATTGGCTACAAGGCATATGGAATTAGTTCTATTTTAGTTGCCAACTGCGACTGTCACTAGCAATATTCTGAGAAACTTTTCGCGGTTTTGCAGTTGAAATATAATTTCTCTGAGCATTTAATTGAATTGTTAAGTATTTAAAAGGAAAGAAACGAAAAACTGCAAGAGTTCTTAGAAGACAGCTGACGTTATAACATTAAAAGAGTGCTGTAAGCCAGACAATGACAGGTGGTGAAAGGAAGTTTTTCGTGAGCTATTTCCACTGAGAAATAAAATTATGAGCGTTATGTGTACATAATCTAAGAAGCAGTCAGTCAGAAAAGTATATTTAAATCCACTGATAGGCACATGTTTACATAAATATTTCATT